ATATGGATTCTAAAATTTTGACTCCAGAAATTCAAAATGACGAATTTCCCAAATTCTTAAATCATAAAGATTAATGTTCTAAAACCTGAAATTACGGAACCTATCGTCCACAATGCCAAAAGATTCTGAATTTTTTTTTCCAGAGTTTTAAAATCATTAAATTCCCAGATTCTTCAATCCTAGGAATTGAATTCTAACACATCTAACATCCACAGTCCTAAAATTCCAAAATGGTCACTTCTGAAATCAATTTTACAATTCTTGGATACGGAAATTTTGACTCCAGAAATTCAAAATCATGAAATTCTGAATCCTAAAATTACGAAATCCAAAGTTCATGGTAATAAAATTATAGGACTGTAATTCTTGAAATAAAGAATGAGAAAATCCTCAAGTTGTGAATCCTGCTAGGAAAAATGTGAATTCTAAAATTTTGCTGCAGGAATTCAAAATCATGAAATTCCCTGGGCCTTAAATCCTAGACACTGACGATGTAAAATTTTAACTAATAACGAAACATAACAGCCAGAACGCTGAAATCGCAAAACGATCACTTCTGAAATCTAGAACATTACAATTCTTAAGCTGCAATATGGAAATTTTGACTCCAGAAATTCAAAATCATGAAATTCTGAATCCTAAAATCTCAGGTCCTAAAATACTGAATACTGACATTCTGAATACTAAAATTACAAAGCCCAAAGTTCACACTACTGAAATTCTAAAGATATGAATCTTTAAATAAAGAATAACAAAATCCTCAAGTTGTGAATCCTAGGAGGAAGAATGTGGATTCTGAAATTTTGACTCCAGAAAATCAAAATCATGAAATTTCTAAATCCTTCAATCATAAGCATTGACGTTCTAAAACCTGAAATTCCGAAACTTAACATCCACAATTATGAAATTCCATTCCATCCTGAAATCTAGTATATTACAATTCTTACGATATGAATACCGAAATTTTAGCTCCAGAAATTGAAAACCATGGAATTCTGAATACTAAAATCTCAAGTCCTTAAATGCTGAATACTGACATCCTGAATCCTAAAATTAGAAAGTCCAAGGTTCACAGTAATGAAATCCTAAAACAGTGATTCCTGAAATGAAAAATAAAAATCTTCAAGTTATAACTTCCACAGGAAAAGATGTAAATTCTGCAATTTTGACTTCATAAATTCAAAATTATGCAATTCCCATATCTTAAATCCTAAACATTGACTTTCTAAAACTTGAATTTACGAAACCTAATATCCACCATGTTGAAATCCCAAAACATTCAATCCTGAAATCTAGAATATTACAATTATCAAGTTGTGGATACTAAACTTTTGACTCCGGAAATTCAAAATCATGAAATTCTGAATCCTAAAAGCTCAAGTCCTTAAATCTGAATACTGACATTCTGAATCCTAAAATTACAAAACTCAAAGTTCATAGTAGTGAAATCCTAAAATTGTGAATCTAAATAAAGAGTAAAAAAATCCTCAACTTGTCAGTCCTACAGATTTTGAAATTTTTAATACAAAAAGTGAAAACCATAAAATTCTCATTACCTTACTTCGTAGACACTGATTTTTTTAAAATCTAAAATCACGAAACTTAACATCCACAAACCTAAAATCCCAAAACGGTCTATCCTGAAATCTAGAACATTACATTTCTCAAGCTTGGATTCTGAAATTTTGACTTCAGAAATTCAAAATCATGAAATTCCCAGATGCTTAAATCCTGGACACTCACGTTTTTAAACTTGAAATTACGAATCCTAACATCCACAATCCTCAAATTCCAAAACGGTCACTCGTGAAATCGAGAATATTCTTAAGGTTTTGGATAGAGAAATTTTGACTCCAGAAATTCCAAATCATGAAATTCTGAATCCTAAAATTACAAAGCCCAAAGTTCACAGTACTGAAATTCTAAAGATGTGAATCTTTAAATACAGAATAAGAAAATCCTCAAGTTGTGAATCCTAGGAGGAAGAATGTGAATTCTGAAATTTTGACTCCAGAAAATCAAAATCATGAAATTTCTAAATCCTTCAATCATAAGCATTGACGTTCTAAAACCTGAAATTCCGAAACTTAACATCCACAATTATGAAATTCCAAAAGAGCCATCCTGAAATCAAGAATATTACAATTCTTAAGATATGAGTACCGAAATTTTGGCTCCAGAAGTTGAAATTCTGAATACTGAAATCTCAAGTCCTTAAATGCTGAATACTGACATTCTGAATCCTAAAATTACAAAGTCCAAGATTCACAGTTCACAGTTCCTGAAATGAAAATAAGAAAACTTCAAGTTATAAATTCCACGGGAAAAGATGTAAATTCTGAAATTTTGACTTCATAAATTCAAAATTATGCAATTCCCATACCCTAAATCCTAAACATTGACGTTCTAAAACTTGTATTTACGAAACTTAATATCCACCATCTTGAAATCCCAAAACATTTAATCCTGAAATCTAGAATATTTCAATTCTTAAGTTGTGGATATAGAAATTTTGACTCCAGAAATTCAAAATCATGTAATTCTGAATCCTAAAAACACGAAACCCAAAGTTCATAGTAATAAACACATAGGACTGTAATTCTTGAAATAAAGAATGAGAAAATCTTCAAGTTATGAATTCTGCAAAGAACGATGTGGATTCAGAAATTTTGCAACAGGAATTCAAAATCATGAAATTCTCATAACCTTAAATCCTAGACATCGATGTTCTAAAACCTGAAATTACGAAACCTAACATCCACAATCCTGAAATTCCAAAAGAGTCGCCTTGAAATCTAGAATACTGAAATTTTGACTCCAGAAATTGAAAATCATGAAATTGTGAATACTAAAATCTCATATCCTTTAATGCTGAATACTGATATTCCAAATCGTAAATTATGAAATCCAGAGTCCAGAGTAATGAAATCCAAAAACAGTGAATCTTGAAATAAAGAATGAGATATCTGCAAGTTATAAATTCTACGAAGAAAGATGTGAATTCTGAAATATGAAATCTATAAATCATGAATCTTGACGTTTTGAATTCTGTATCAAATTCGAAATTTATAGTCCTGAAATTCTAAAGCTGTGTATGCTGAAATCCAAAATACTAAAATCCTCACATTGTAGATCCTCGAATCCTAGACACTGAAACTGCATAAGTATTAATTAATACGTGTTTTTATGCCATCACTAGGCGCATTCACTGAATATTGAAATATACATTCCACAAATCGTAAATACTCAAAATCGTAAAATTCTGAAATTTAAATGTTAAAATTCGCAATATTGAAGTTCAATGTCTTGAAATTTTGGATTGTCAACTCTCAGGTCGCTAAATCCTGAAGTTCCAAAGCAGTGATTCCTAAAAACCATAATAGCAAAATCTCTATCCAGAAATCTAAAATTATGAATTCCTTAATCACGAAGTCCTAGTCTTAAAATTACGAAACCCGAAATGCATTTGATAAATCAGGATCTTATAATTTAGAATTTTCATAATCAGAATTCGATTGTCCTGGACTGAGGGCCTTTTAGATTCACAACTTGGAGATCTGAAAATTCAGAGTTCAATCAAAAGTCTCCAAATTTTGGCATTTAATATTTATGCATTTCAGGAAAAAATTTTATTAATCATTAGCACCTTAGATTAGAAGAATTTAAATTTCAAAATTCAAGTTTTAGTTTGATAGGATTATGGATTTTTAGAATTCGAAATTCCGGAATTTTCCAAATTACCAAAACGATTTCTCCTGAAACCTAGAAATAGCATAATTCTCAAGTTAAAGAACCTGAAATTTTAATTCCAGAATTCTGAATCTTAAAATCTCAAGTCCGTAAATCATGAATATTGACATTGTACGAGTAAATCCTAAAATTCCCAACCTGAAGTTCACCTAATATTAACCCCAGGATTTACTCTTGTGACATGAATGTCTCTTTTTCGTTGCCTAGTGACAGCAACAAACTCATTACTACGATCTTCAAGAGCATCTCCATTTTCATTGGTGACTTGAGAAGTACCAATTATCAAGGTCTTCATTACCCTCGTTTTACTGGTAGCATTACTAATATTGGACTTAACTCGAGCATTCTTATTGGGTTCATACACGTTTTGATTATCTTCCACAACAGCTGAGCAAAGGTTTACATTTCTTTTAAACGATGTTTTATCCAGGTTTTTCTGAGGACCTTTCTTGTCACTATTACCACTAATTGTGAAGACATTACCTTCAATTTCAATATTGAAGAAAAGAAAATTTTAAAAATCTAAAAATTGGAAAATTGAAATTTGAAATTGAGTAAAACATGTAAAGGTTGGAAAATCTAAAAATTGAAGAAAATTAAACTGAGACAACAAAAAAAAAATAAAATCGGAAAACAGAAAAATCAAAAAATTGGAAAAATTAGAAAAATAAGGAAAATAAAAAACCGAAACGAAAAATTGCCAATCGAAAAATTGAAAAATTAAATACAGAATACGGGAGAAATTCAGTTCGAAAAATTGCAAAAACTAAAAATTGGAAAATTCAAAAGTTGGAAAATTGAACAAACGAAAAATTTAATCTTGGAAAATTGAAAAAGTGCAAATCGGAAATCTAAAGAAACAAGAAAAAATTAAAAATTGAAGAATGAAAAATTCAACTAAATGAAGTAGCGGTGTTGTTTATGCCACTGGTTTTACTTCAGAAATCAAAAATCGCAAAAATTTTTGAGAGTTTTTCAAAGAAGCAGAATTTATTAGACTGCACTTCAAGGGCGTTCGGTACAATATCAACACTAACAAATAATTTAAAAATCGTGATTTTTAATTAAGTATTATCGGTAGTTTGCAGTAAGTTGAGGCTTAAGCTAGTAATAAATTTTCAACAGTTTTAATGTTAAAATAAACGACTGCTTTATTTGTTTACGGCACAAGCGATTACATCACATCCACTGATTACACCAAAATACAAACAAATGATAACTGATGATAAGTAACACCTCAGAATCAGTCGTGGAACCTACATTTGATAGATTGCACAAAACGTTAAATTTATTTGCTTTAAATTTCAAAAAGTGCCCCGTTTTATAACTTTTTTTTTAATATTCTTCATTAAATAACAGGTGTTTCTTGGAATTTGGGATTACATCAGTCACAAAATGCGTAAGTCGCGGAAAAATTTCAAGCACATTTAAATAAAATTCAAAATTCCTGACATATAATCTTAAATTCTGATTTGAAACAACCTTATGTTGTGATTTTGGCATTTATTCCCAGTTTGTTTAATTTGTAGTCAAAAAACAATGTTTATTATAGAAATTCTGCAGAAATTCAACTTTCTCCGAATTACGTTTTATCTGAACATAAACAACACTTTATCTGCGCGTTTATGATTTTAAGACTTCCTTACTTACACGTGTTTACATTTTAGTCTCGCTACAATTTAGTTGTCTCATCTTAGCGACAACAATAATTTCCTCTTCCTGTACCATCTCGAGACGCCGTTCATGGTTGGAAGATCCTTGTACCCCTAAGATTAGGCACAACTATAGAATAAAACGCGCCAGTTCCATCACCCTCGTTCAAAATCAAGTAAAATTTTCGACAGCTCTCTTTCGATTGTACTCAAAAAAAATTATGCACTTGTATGAAGACGCTGCACAAAGCGGACAGAATTCAACGAAAGCACGACTAAAAATTAGAGACCTGAACGTGAAAAAGATGCTCAACAAGATGACGAAGGACCCAGATCATGTGAGCATATTTGATGAAGTGGACAAATTAATTAAAATGTTTAAATTTCAGCGACTCGAACAATTCTTGTATGGGCTTCAACATTTTGCGCATACTGTGGAGAAATTGAAAAATATTACGGTCGATTCTGAGGACAATTTCTTACTTAATAGTAAACGCGATGAGATTTATAGCAATATGATTTCTCATATGAGGATTCTACTTTGTGAAGTTCAATGCTCTCTACACGTGACAAAAGATGCAGTGACTATAGCAAGGAGTTCACATGCCATGAAGATTCATTTACCGTCAAATGCAGTATTAGATTTAGGGAGTGCTTACGTATTGGACAAAAATTTTTTCAAAAAGACTATTAACTTTTTGATGAAAGCTTTGAGAATACTTAGTCCCTCAAACTTACGACGATTTAAGGGGAAATTAAAAGATTAGGACATAATTTGTACAAATTTATTTATAATAAAATTATTGTGTGGCTCCATCACAAATTTTCGCGAAAATGTAAAGGATGCGCACGTCTTTTATAATAATAATAAAATAAGAATTACAATATTCAGAACAATAATTGTGTTCGATTGTCCTTTCATTAATAATTTTAGGCCTCTCTTTTAGAAGACAAACTCATTCAAATCAAACTAATTTGTACATGACAATGTGGTAACCCTCATATTCACCTACATATAATACATTAAAGAGGTGTTTTTTTTTTTTGGATACTTATAGCTTTTTACCAATTTTTCATTGATCAAATTAAGATCCTAATTTTCTAAAAAATGTAAGAATACCCATGCTTTATAAAATTATGATCAAATAACAATAACAATAATCATATTCAAAACGTTTTGTTCCATTGTGGCTTAATTAATAATTTTAGTCTTTTGTTTTGAGGTATCCACTCGACATGTCGAGTTTAATCTCGACATGTAGACTTTTTACTTCCCGAGCGTAAGTGAAGGACGTATTGTAATCGGGTCCGTCGGCCGACTCTCTACTTTTATATTTTCTCGACCTTTCATCACCCCTACAGAACGAAGAAATAGGTCTCCCGTTTCCGTCTGTCTAGCTGTCCGTCTGTTTGTCTGCCGTCCCGTATTTTTATTAGACAGATAAACTTCGAAAGTACTGGGCCAATTGTTGTCAAATTTTTTATTTATAATAGGAATATCATAGATGGTAAAACCCTAATCAAAATTTATCTAAACATCCCCACCAATAATGTGATGACGTCACTTCAAAAATTGTAAATAGTAAATGGGTTCTAAATTGTGAAAAATAGCATAGTCCGACACATGTAGTTTATGGATCCGAATTGAGTTTTTGCCCAAAACGTCCAGAGTTTTTGAAAAAAAATCAAAATTATGAAACAAGATATTACAATTTAATTTGGAATCTGCAAAACTGTGTGCTTTCTTGATTTATTAAGCATTATTTATTAAATAGTTCAAAAATGGTCGAAATTGTCAAAAGTGCCAAAAATAGTCTTATCTTATCAAATTTTAAGCCCGCCCGCCCACCCTCTATTTTTTTAGGGGATATGTTATTTGCCAAAGTCAATCTTATCTTAGCAAGTACTAGCCCCACCCACCCACCTTCTTCTCAATCTAATGACAAATTTTATTTCTGTTCAGTTTAAGGTCATCCATTTCATTCAGATCGCATAAAATTGATCACTGAAAATGAGACAGGGTGGGTGGGCGGAGTTAATTATGTTCTTCTGTCGAGTGGGATTGGAAACTAATAATAGAAGCCAGAAATGATTCCTGGATATCGAAATCTACAAGAAAATACCTTCAATAATTTTCGGAAATGGTTGAAAAATGGTCCAAAATGTCAAAAGTGCTAAAAGTAGTCTCACCTTATCAAATTTTAAGCCCCGCCCACCCACCCTCTATTTTCTTGGAAGGTATGTTATTTGCCAAAGTAAGTCTTATCTTGCCAAGTACTAGCCCCGCCCACCCACCCTCTTCTCATTCTAACGAATAATTTTATTTCTGTTTAGTATAAGGTCATGCATTTCATTCATATCCCATAAAATTAATTAATGAAACGGAGACTAGGTGGGTGGGTGGGGTTAAAATTATATTCTTCTATCGAGTGGAAGTGAAAACTAATAATAGAAGCCGAAAATGGCTTCTGGATATCAAAATCTACAAGAAAATGTCTTCAAAAATTTTCGGAAATGGTTGAACAAAGGTCGGAAATGTCAAAAGTGATAAAAATAGTCTTATCTTATAAAATATTAAGCCCCGCCCACCCACCCTCTGTTTTCTTGGAGGGTATGTTATTTGCCAAAGTCAATCTTATCTTAGCAAGTACTAGCCCCACCCACCCTCCCTCTTCTAATTCTAACGACGAATTTTATGTCTGTTCAGTATAAGGTTATTCATTTCATTCAGATTCAATAAAATTAATTAGTGAAACGGAGACTGGGTGGGTGGGCGGGGTTAAAATTATGTTCTTCTGTCGAGTGGGAGGCAAAACTAATAATGGAAACCGAAAAGGACTTCTGAATATCAAAATTTCCAAGAAAATGTTAAAAGTGCCAAAAACCGTCTTATCTTATCAAATTTTAAGCCCCGCCCACCCACCCTGTATTTTATTAGAGGATATGTTATTTGCCAAAGTCAATCTTATCTTAGCAATTACTAGCCCCACCCACCCACCCTCTTCTCATTCTAATGACAAATTTTATTTCTGTTCAGTTTAAGGTCATTCATTTCATTCAGATTGCAGAAAATCAATCCCTGAAAAGGAGACAGGGTGGGTGGGCGGTGCTAATTATGTTCTTCGGTCGAGTGGGAGGGAAAACTAATAATAGAAGCCGAAAATGATTTCTGGATATGTCAAAAATGCCAAAAACAGTCTTATCTTATATAATTTTAAGCAACGCCCACCCACCCTCTATTTACTTAGAGGGTATGTTATTTGCCAAAGTCAATCTTATCTTAGCAAGTACTAGCCCCATCCACCCACTCTCTTCTCATTCTAATGACAAATTTTATTTCTGTTCTGTATAAAGATATTCGTTTCATTCAGACCGATTCAAAAATTTTGAAAATCCAGAATTTGAAAAACCGAAAAATCTAAAACCAAAACTCGAAACATCAAAAATCTAAGACTTGAAAAATCGAAAAATCGAAAAATTTAGTTTTAAAACCTGCAAAATTGAAAAATCCAGGAATCTAAGAATCGAAAAAGTGAAAAATCGAAAATGTAAAAAATCCAGAAATCGGAAAATTGAAAAATGGAAACAAAATAGGAAGAATCGAGAAATTGAAAAATCTCAAAACTGAAACAGAAAAATTGAAAAACCGAAAAATTAAAAAATTGAGAAATCGGAAAATCGGAAAACTGAAAAATCTAAACCTGAAAAGACAAAATATTGAATAGTCGAAAATAGAGCAATGAGATCAAAAAAATCAATCTGAAAATCGAAAAATTGAAAAATCTGAAAACTAAAACAGAAAAATTGATAAATAAAAAAATTGAAGAATCAACAAATCGAAAAATCAATGTCAAAAAATCGAAACATCACTGTTGAAAAATCGAAAAACTGGAAAACCTAAAATCTGATATCTGGGGGTGGGGTTAAAATTATGTTCTTCTGTTGAGTGAGAATGGAAACTAATAATAGAAGCCGAAAATGACTTCTGAATATCGAAATGTACAAGAAAATGTTTTCAATAATTTTCGGAAATGGTTGAAAAACGGCCGAAAATGTCAAAAGTGCCAAATATAGTCTTATCTTATCAAATTTATATATTCGAGGCATATTATGCCTGTTTGATCTTTCATTGATTTTACATCCGACCAGAATTTTTTTGGGTCTTGGGATAGATTGTTTTGAATGGAATTCAGATATCCTTTATAAGCTAGAGATATTTGACTTTTAGTAATAGTACGATAATGTTTAAATTTGACGTAATAGGAGCTGTAATTAGTTTGCTTATATATATTATGATAATAACCTTTTAATTTAATGTTATTGATAATCATAGAATTGAACCATGGCGGAAACTGCATCTTATTGAATTTATTTAGATAAATTGGGACATGCTTATCAAAAATATGATATAGGGCGTTATAAAATTGATCTACCATACTATCGACATCAACACAATTATTTAGAAAGGGCCAACTATATTTAATAATTCCTGATATAAAGAAGGATAATCAGCTCTCTTAAAATTGTATAGTTTTACACCATTTGGTCTAGTGGAAGGGAAGTTACTAAAGTTGTCAACAGTGAAGTCAATCAAAATCGAAAGAGCCGGGTGATGGGTGTCTTCCGCAACCACAGGACAGCAAAAATCAAGTAAGCAGTAAAATGTTTGACGTAGGTATCAAAAATTGTCAAAGTTTCCAAAACCCTACTTTTAAAATGTTCGCAGTTAATTTTAGGTCCCCTGGGTGTTTTTTTTTTTGGGATAAATTTAAAGGAGTCTGCTGTTTTAGGTGATCGTGCGTGATAGTGCATGTGTGCATGTGTGTTGTGCTCCAAAATCTGTTCCTTCCTCTCAGGTTTGAGGAAACAAATTTACTACTGAACCTCTCACCTTTGATAGGAGTTAGTAATGCCGGGAACGTGTAAAGCATGTGATGGAGACATCAATCGCCGAAATGAAAAGGTTTTTTCATGTTTCCTCTGTAGTAACAAATCTCATGCAAAATGTTTAAAAATTGAAGATGCCGAATTTAAAATCTTGCAGAAATTAAATAATTTTAAATACATTTGTGATGAGTGTTTAATACTTCAAAATTCTGAGAAAGTGGATTCTTTGAAAGCGTCAATTGATAAATGTTTAACTGCCATTGAAAACCAAAATCAAACAATTAACTCTCACGGTACAATAATTAATGACTTGTTGCAAAAAATGCCTAGCTCCTTTCAAAAGGATCATGTTCCGTCCTATGCCAGTGTTACTAATAAATCAACAGTTATTGTACAGCCTAAGAACACTGAGAAAAAAGTATCGGAAACGAAAGCCGAATTGTTAGGAAAAGTTAATCCTGTGGAAAATAATTTGAACATATCTAACGTAAAGTCGTCGCGTAGTGGTGGAGTAATAATCAGCTGCAATAGTAGTAAGGACACTAAAAAAATTGTTGAAATTGTAGAGAATGAACTACGAGAAGATTATAATATAAAACAATTGTCAAATCTGTGCCCCAGAATAAGAATATCAGGTATTCCCAAAGAAATAACCTCAGAAATGTTCTCTAAATCGCTTGTTCATCAAAACCAATTATTGTTTAATGATGTCAATGAAGATTATAAAGTTGTAAGCTACAGTAGCCAACGCAAAAGTGATAAATATCTTCAAGCCGTAGTTTAAATTGACACAGTGTCATACAACAATATAATGAAAGCTGGAAAACTATTAATAGGCTATAAATATTGTAAAGTTTGGGATGCTATCGCCGTTGTTATAATTGTTGTGGTTTCCACCACCATTCTGATAAATGTGATCAGAACTTTCCCATCTGTCCAAGGTGTTCAGAAAAACATAAAGTACAAGAGTGTAAGTCTGATATTCTTAAGTGTACTAACTGTAGTATGTTGAA